CAGCTTGGTTGATCATGCAAGCCTGACCCAAGGCCGGACTGAGAGTAGAAGAGCGCTCAAAAAATGTGGTCTAAATTAATAGCTTTGCATTATCTTCCTACTAATTACACCTACCATCCGACTTGCGACCTGCTCGACTTAGGACCGTGTTTTTTATGCCAAATTTCTGGGAAATAAACAACTATTTGTGTTGTACACAGTGTTTATCCTAAACCTTACAGTATAAAATACAGTACTAACAACATAAAAAGTAAAGTAAAACATGAAATACCAAAATAAAACAATAAAATAGTCATTACAAAAATGTTTTGTTGATATTCAGTAGTAAAGTTCGACTTGCGACCATTTTGACTTAGGACTGGTTTCTCGGAACCGAACTCGGTCGTCGGTCGGATGGTAGGTGTATACTTCATATAAAAGTTTCAGAGGCATGTGTTTTCAGGGTACTGGTTCAAGGGTGATGCAGGGAGGTCCCACTTATACAGCAGGTTAGGTTCTGGGCTGCTATTGTAAAGCAAAAATTGCTGTAAAGTGAATCATAGCTTATTGTCACTTTCAGATGCTTATAATAACCTGATAACATGTTTACACGATCATATATTAAATGAGCAATGGACTACCTTGCATTAGTATTAAGATTAATAAAGATTTTAAGACAAGTTAGCCACTTCTCTAGATTTATAGTTATTATGTACGTACTAGGATTAGTCTGCCCAAAATGTCCCGGCATGGTAGTGGCTTTCTTTGTACTTAGCAAATCAAACTTGTAATTACACATTGTAACCTTTACAAAGAAATATAATCTTTATCTTTTTATCTAGGCCTTAAGTGCATATACGTCCAGTACAAACATTACTAACCTTAAAATATTGTCTTCCTTAGCTTATAGTGAGTGATGTATATATTTATTGTAGGAAGTCTGAATAACTGAAGAATGGGTATAATTAAAAACTGCTGCATTAGTGGAACGTTGTAAATTCAAACCAGCTATGATATATATGCCTAATATTAGGTACGACTGTACAGTGGTACCTTGCGATACAAATTTTTTTCGTTCCAGAAGGCTGTTCGAGTGCTGATACCGAACGAATTTGTTCCCATAAGGAATAATGTAAATCAGATTAATCCGTTTCAGACCTCCAAAATTGCACAAACAAAAGCACTTGCATAAATCTTCTTTTTCTTTCAACAAACCGGCTGTATCCCACCAAGGCGGGGTGGCCCAAAAAGAAAAACGAAAGTTTCCCTTTTTAAATTAAGTAATCTATACAGAAGAAGGGATTACTAGCCCCTTGCTCCCGGCGTTTTAGTCGTCTCTTACAACATGCATGTCTTACGGAGGAAGAATTCTGTTCCACTTCCCCATGGAGATAAGAGGAAATAAACAAGAACAAGAACTAGAAAGAAAATAGAAGAAAACCCAGAGGGGCATGTATATATATGCTTGTACATGTATGTGTAGTGTGACCTAAGTGTAAGTAGAAGTAGCAAGACGTACCTGAAATCTTGCATGTTTATGAGACAGAAAAAAGGACACCAGCAATCCTACCATCATGTAAAACAATTACAGGATTTTGTTTTACACTCGCTTGGCAGGACAGTAGTACCTCCCTGGGTGGTTGCTGTCTACCAACCTACTACCACAGGATGGTAGTACCTCCCTGGGTGGTTGCTGTCTACCAACCTACTGCCACAGGATGGTAGTACCTCCCTGGGTGGTTGCTGTTTACCAACCTACTACCCTTACAGGATGGTAGTACCTCCCTGGGTGGTTGCTGTCTACCAACCTACTACCACAGGATGGTAGTACCTCCCTGGGTGGTTGCTGTCTACCAACCTACTACCACAGGATGGTAGTACCTCCCTGGGTGGTTGTCTACAAACCTACTACCACAGGATGTTAGTACCTCCCTGGGTGGTTGCTGTGGACCATCCTACTACCACAGAATGGTAGTACCTCCTTGGGCAGTTGCTGTTTACCAGCCTACTACCACAGGATGGTAGTACCTCCCTGGGTGGTTGTTGTCTACCAACCTACTACCACAGGATGGTAGTACCTCCCTGGGTGGTTGCTGTCTACCAACCTACTACCACAGGATGGCAGTACCACCCTGAGTGGTTGCTATCTACCAACCTACTACCACAGGATGGTAGTACCTCCCTGGGTGGTTGCTGTCTACCAACCTACTACCACAGGATGGCAGTACCACCCTGGGTGGTTGCTATCTACCAACCTACTACCTAGGTCTTGCATAAATACACTTGCATAATTGTTTGAGTTTTAAGCTGTTCGTATCCCGAGGTACCACTGTAGTCTGTTAAGTATTAGGTTTAGTCTGCCCGAGATGCCCTGGCATGATAGTGGCTTTCTTTGTACTTAGTAAATCAAAATTGTAATTACACATTCTAAAATAATCAGATATTAAATCCTTAAGGTGGAGCCTGCCTGTACTAGTGCCTAAGTTTGTCTTCCTGAAGACAACAATTCAGGGTTTGCTCAGAGGTTTCTGTCTCAAAATATTGAAACTAACTTTCTCTCTTTCAGTCATCACATAAACTGAAACTGCTTAAGAAATCCTGTTTAACTGAAGATCACTGAACCAGTTTGAAGTATTGACCCTTTCAGGGTCATGATCCCTGATCTCAAACTTGCTCTCAGGGTCAAAGACTTTAAAAAAATAAAAATCTTACAAAATGATAATGTTTTTCCAAAGGTATTGAACCCAAAAGTATGAAATTTGATAGAAAATTTAGGAAGTTATACTCTTGCAAAGTTAGCGTGTTTGGCTATATTTACACATTGGTGATTTTGCCAACTTTGAGCCCTATTTTTGGCCAATTCCACTGTTCCAGTCGACCAAACTCATAGCAATTTTCCTAGTATTCCTTCTGTACTGTTGACTGAGTACAAGAAACTGCCCATTTATAAATTGCAACTACCCAATAAAGTCATCAGAAATTGGTAATATGGCCAGTTTCACACAAAATTCAAGAAATGCCACTTTCAAAACGGTCCAGAGTAAACAATGCAGACATTCCTGCTACTAAAATATTTTCTCTGTTCATTAGTCACATCTCCAGGATACTCTTATATTCCACTTGATTTCCATTTTGAATTTTAATTCACACACAAAATAGAAGATATACTGTTATGCAGACTACTGCATTATTGTAATAATTGTATAAATAATATCATTGCATTCCTAAATGCGTATTAGACTGGCCAGTTGGACGCATGTTGGACAAGTGACATCATTTGTGTTCTCTGGATTATTGGCAAAGATCGAACATTTTTGCTAATTTGAGCTCAATTTCAAGATACTTTTAGTCCAAAAACCAATTAAAATCCTCTCTAAAAAGAGACCAAGAAACCAAGAATGCAGTCATAAAAAATTACGAAAATAAATCGCAATGTTGCTGTTTCAAACCAAAAAGACTGTTGCAGTTTTATTTTCTCGTGCACTGCTTGCTGCAGGAATTTTTTATTGTGCACACTTAATGCATAGACCCATTCTCTCATATCTAGGCCCAAATTTACCGCTCACAGGTTATCAGAGCGAGCTGAGCTCATGGCGTAGAACTACAGGACTGATCCCAAAAGGGTTAATGCATACTTAAAATTCTCCTGTTGTTCACTTAGCTGCCTCTCTCTTTTGTACATTTAAAACCTCCTACTTAATACCCTATGTCTAGTTCTCAAGTAGTCTTTAAGCATTAGTACAGTGGACCCCCGGTTAACGATATTTTTTCACTCCAGAAGTATGTTCAGGTGCCAGTACTGACCGAATTTGTTCCCATAAGAAATATTGTGAAGTAGATTAGTCCATTTCAGACTCCCAAACATACACGTACAAACGCACTTAAATAAATACACTTACATAATTGGTCGCATTCGGAGGTAATCGTTATGTGGGGGTCCACTGTATTAGTCTTTTCGAAATGCACTGCATGCTAGTTGCTTTCTTTTGTGCCTAACAATAATTTATTACATGTAAACTACATTACCTGTATACTGTATTAAAGAAATAAATTATTTGTATAGAATTATTGAAGGGACTGGCATATTTTTTTGTATTTGTTCTCACTGTCTCGCATAAACATCTCTCTCTTTTTGTCTGCCTGTCTCTCTCTGTCTCAGAGAGAGCCACTCATGAACCAACAGGTATTACACACGTTGCAGAATCATCACGTCTGAACAAGTGGAAATGCATGTTACTTGCCAGTCATGCTTATGCCTCGTAACAACAAGCACAGAATATCACTTTGTCTGGCTTTTTTGGGTTATCCTACATAATTTAAACTGTAAGATAACTTCACTCACATGTACCTGTACCTAAATAAATTTATGAGCAGCTTTCAGACAAAAAGACAGAGATAGAGCTAGCCAAACCCACCCAGCTGGCTTGCTGAACACGTATTTCATGTTACAGAATCGTTTCTCTTCACCTAGGGCATAGGTTATAGGACATTCTGAAATGATGAGACTACCAGTGGTATCAAAATTGAAAGGATGTTGCACATGGGTTATCATCAAGGTTTTTGATATTTCCTCAACCACTTGTGGCCACATCCATCTCAGAGCCACTAAACTCAAGGTCATCATCACTATCCTCTTAAAAGGGGAGTGTTAATACGACATGACATCAGTGAATCCTTGGTGTTTGCCACGCTATTTGTTCTAGCTGGCACTCAATTGAACTGGTGCTTCCACAAGGTACTAAGTGGTCTCAGATTTTTTTAACCATTCTGTACAGCCTAGGCCTATCATGTCAAATTTGGAGGCAGGAAAAATAAAACTTCAACCTACTTTTGGAGTGCTAACAGTAAGAACATATATAAACATTTGGACAGTTAAGGGGGTTAAGGTAAGTATTATATGTACTGTATATTTTTTTTTTTTTTTATCCCTAGCTTGGAACCTAAGAGCCATGCAAATAGGCCCCTTCTGTATATTGTATATATTTTGTACTATATATTTTTCAAGATTTTATTGTTTTCAGAGTGACCATAGCAGCCATGATTCCTTGGGTAATTTATCAAATATTTCATCACTTAGTGGAGGTTCAAGACATGGAATGCTGTCTACTTCACTCACCTCCAATAAGAGTGCTCTGTCTTCATCTGCTTGCCCCATACAGGAATCAGAGAAGGTAAATATTTTTTTGCATTTGTAGTATTGGTGTGCCTTTGGGAAAACAGTGATTGAGTGAATAATGGTAAAAGTGTTTCTTCTTTTGGTCACCCTACCTCAGTGGGAGACAACCATTGTGTTAAAGAAGTTTATCAAGTATATCATGAGATATATTATTTGCCTAGCATAGGCCAGTAGCCCTTCTCAGTGCTCCTTGTGTTGTTCTTCAATATGGATTTAAGGCATTGGTTTTAAACATTGCAGTAAAGAGGAATCTGGAGGCAGTAGAGATGTCATGTTTGAGAGCAGTGTGTGGCGTGAATATTATGCAAAAAATTCAGAGCTTAGAAATTAGAAGATGGTGCGGAGTTGTTGTTGTTGTTCTTTCAACAAACTGGCCGTATCCCACCAAAGCAGGGTGGTCCAGAAGGACAAACAAAATTTTCTTTCAGATTTAGTAATATATTCTGGAGAAGGGGTTACTAGTCCCTTGCTCCTGGCAGGTTAATCGCCTCTTACGACACGCATAGGCTTACGGAGGAAGAATTCTGTTCCATTTGCCCATGGAGACTGTGTGAAGTTACATTATCTAGAAGACAGAAAAGGGGTTGTTGCGTATTTTCAGAGGACTGAGCATGTAGGATGACAACGCAGTAATATAAATGCAGTGTATAAGAAAGTAGGGGTAGGAGTTGTCACAGGATGGGTTGGAGGAAGAGGGTGTGGGAGAGGTTTTAGATGGTAGGGGGATGTGCATCCATTATGTGTGCATCCTAGGAAAGGATAGGGGGGTAAAAGGTTTTGTTGAAGGGGGCTTGGACATGTGACAAGCATGTTAGATAGGAGTGAATGGAGATGAATGGTTTTTGGAACCTGACGAGCAGTTGGAGTGTGAGCAGGATAATATTTTGTGAAGGGATTCAGGGAAATGAGCCTGACCCATGGTCGGGCTCAGAGAGTAGAGAAACTTGAAACTCTTCAAAGGTACTTCAGAGGTATAACTATTTAGCCAGACTCGAGTCTTAAAGGAAGTCCTGGGAAGTACAATGCGTACACTTTAAAGGAAGGGTTTGGGATATTGGCTATTAGCAGTGACGTTTAAACTGTCATATCTGGCACCTCTACAAAGACAATGATTGTGTGTGAATGATGGTAAAAGTGTTTCTTTTTTTGGGTCACCCTGCCTTGGTGGGAGACGGCTGACGTGTTAAAAAAAGTGTTAGATTAGACTGAGTGGAGAATATGGTTTTAGAGATTTGATGTGCTGTTGGGGTGTGAGAAAGATAACATTTATGAAAGGATTTAGAAATCTGTTACACAAGAACATAAGAAAGGAGGAACACTGCAGCAGGCCTACTGGCCCATGTATAGCATGTCCTGTGTTGGCCAGACTTGAGTCCTGGAGGTGGAAAGCACATTGCCTGCACTCTGACAGAGTGGTGGTGATTTTACATATTGTAGGACCATTTGAATTGTGGCATCTCTGCACGTCTGTCAACACTGCAATTGAATGAGTAGTATTTTTTCATCATCGATTAATGGAAGATGGCCAGTGTATGGAAAAGTAAGTCATACACTCTGGCTCACTTCTTGTTATCTGGAGCATGTCTTGTGACTTTGTAAATGGTCCAATTCGGACCGAAACGTCGTCGTAAGCTTCTCTCATGTTTTGACATTTTGCACGAGTGTGTTGGGTTATTTAAAAATAATTACTGGAGGGAGGGGGTGAAGGAGGTTTTGCGTGCGTGGGGCTTGGACTTCCAGCAGGCATGCATGAGTGTGTTTGGTAGGAGTGAATGGAGACAAATGGTTTTTAATGCTTGACGTGCTGTTGGAGTGTGAGCAAAGTAACATTTATGAAGGGATTCAGGGAAACTGGCAGGCCGGACTTGAGTCCTGGAGATGGGAAGTACAGTGCCTGCACTCTGAAGGAGGGGTGTTAATGTTGCAGTTTAAAAACTGTAGTGTAAAGCACCCTTCTGGCAAGACAGTGATGGAATGAATGATGGTGAAAGTTTTTTCTTTCTCGGGCCACCCTGCCTTGGTGGGAATCGGCCAGTGTGTTAATAAAAAAAAAAATTGTGAATTTACACAGAAATAGTGAAGATGAGATTTTTTACTGTACTGTACATTGCTGCTTGACTTCACTTTATTGATTTAACATTTGTCATGACTAAAGTAATAATAATAATAGTGTAATACAGTGTAAGTAAGTTTATTCAGGTATACACAAATACAGTTACATAGAATTATCATACATAGCAGCATATGTGTAGAGAACCTAGGATAACCCAAAAAAGTCAGACAGTGACTTATTTCCATTGGGGTCCTTTTACCTTATTATTATAATATAAAGGTTATAATATTTTCTTATTCTATAATTTTCTTATTATTCTATAGTTTTCTTATTATTAGTGGAACCTCGGGTTTCGTCGTTAATTCTTTCCGGAAAGTCTGACGAAAACTGAAGCAATATTTCCCATAAGAAATAATGTAAATCCAATTAATCCGTTTGAGACACCCAAAAGTATGAACAAAAAACACATATAGAGAATAACTATAAATTTTTCTTTTCTTCTTCCAACAAACCGGCCGTATCCCACCGAGGCAGGGTGGCCCGAAAAGAAAAACGTAAGTTTCTCTTTTTAAATTTAGTAATTTATACAGGAGAAGGAGTTACTAGCCCCTTGCTCCCGGCATTTTAGTTGCCTCTTACAACACACACAGCTTACTGAGGAAGAATTCTGTTCCACTTCCCCATGGAGATAAGAGGAAATAAACAGGAACTAATAAGAAAATAGAAGAAAACCCAGAGGGGTGTGTATATGTTTGTACATGTATGTGTAGTGTGACCTAAGTGTAAGTAGTAGCAGCAAGACGTACCTGAAATCTTGCATGTTTATGAGACAGAAAAAAAGGACACCAGCAATCCTACCATGTAAAACAATTACAGGCTTTCATTTTACACTCACTTGGCAGGACGGTAGTACCTCCCTGGGTGGTTGTCTACCAACCTACTACCACAGGACGGTAGTACCTCCCTGGGCGGTTGCTGTTTACCAACCTACTACCTAAAACTATAAATTTACATACAGAAAACAATGACAAATGTAAAGGACTAATGAAATGGATAAATAAACATTTAACCCTTTCAGGGTCCGTCCGGTAGATCTACGGCTTTACGTTCAGGGTCCAAACCGTAGATCTACGCCATGAGCTCAGCTCACTGATAAACTGTGAGTGGTAAATTTTGGCCTAGATATGAGAGAATACATCTATGTGGTATGTGTGCACCACATAAAACAAATCCTGCAGCACACTGTGTATAATGAGAGAAAAAAACTGAGACTGTGATTTTCGATTAAAACAGCGACTTTGCAGTGTTTTTTCGTATGTTTTTTATAGTTGTATTTGCTATTTCTTGGTCTCATTTGATATAATGGAAGACGTATTACAGAAATAGAGATGATTTTGATTGATTTTAGCACTGGAAATGGCTTGAAACTGAGATCAAAGTAGCGCAAATGTTAAATTTTTGCCGATGTTTAGGAGTAAACAAACGACCTCACACGTCTAATACACGCCAGCTGGTGGGTCTAATATACATTCACAAATGTGGTGATGATATTTATGCAATTATTACAATACTGCATAGCAGTAAATCTTCTATTTTTTGGTGTGAATAAAAATTCATTATGTGAATAAAAAATCAAAATGGAATTTATTTGTAAAGCCTCAAAATGTAACTAATGAACAGAGGAAATGTTAGTTTAGTTCCAGGAATACCTACACTGTTTATTCTGGACCCTATTTTGAAATTGGAATATTTTGAACTTTGTGTTAAATTGGCCAAATTAACAATTTCCAATCACTTTATTTTGTAGTTGAAACAGTTGACTTGGCGATTTCTTGTGCTCAATCGATAGAATAGAAGTAATACTAGTGAAATAGGTAAGAATTTAGTCGACTGGAATAATGTAATTGGCCTAAAATGGAAGTCAAAGTCGGCAAAATCGCCGATTCGTAAATATCGCTGACACATCAAAATTCACGAGAGCATAATTTCGTCAATTTTCCATCAAATTTCGTACTTTTTGTTTTATTACCTTCACAAAAAGATTCTCTACGATTTCATAAGAAAAAATAACAAATTTTTTGTTTGAAAATTCTTGGACACTGGGGCACCACTTCAGATTTTGGCCTTGGACTCTGAAAGGGTTAATATCACTTTTACCGTTATTGAAGACTCTTGTTGGTGTATGGAAGACATGAGGAGGGGAGACGGAGGAGAGGTTATTGGTTGGAAGGGGAATTCCCCTCCATAAGAACTTTAGGTATCAAGTCCCTATCCAGGGTTACTTCCCTTCTTTGTCTTTTACTGGCACTGGACTCCTGTCGCATAAAAAATCTACCCAGAGAGGTCTGTTTCTGGCTTCTCTTCAAGATTTGCCTAAAATGGGACAAGGCATTGTCATTGAACATGTTGCAGACACAGCTTGCAGCAGCTTTGTTAGGGTGATATTTCTCCACAAAACTTTGCAACTTGCTCCACTTTGCACAACTGTCCTTAATCACTGAAGAAGGCACCTTCTCCTCTCTCTCTCTCTCTCTCTCTTCCTCTTCCTCTGAAGCAATTTCCTCAGCTGTGATCTGTTGCTGTTCCAGTTGAAGGTGTTGCAGCTCTTCAGTGGTTAGCTCTTCCCTGTGGTCATACACCAACTCTTCCACATCCTGGCCACTCGCTTCCAACCCCATGGACTTTCCCAAAACCACAGTAGATTCCATAACAGGCGTAGGGTTGTCAGGGTCAGCTTCAAACCCTTCAAAATCCTTCTCTTGGACACATTCTGGCCACAATTTCTCGCCTTCTTTATCAAAGGGCTGGCACTCAGAACTTTCTTTGGCCCCCAAGGTGGCTTATTTAGCAGTTACACTCAATAAACAAGCACAAAAAACAGTGGATTACATCTACCATCCGACTTTCGACCTGCTCGACTTACGACGACTCTACTTACGACCGTGCTTTTTTATTCCAAATTTCTTGGAAATAAGTGTTTGTGTTGTACACAGTGTTTATCCTAAATCTTACAGAATAAAATACAGTATTAACAGCATAAAAAGTAAAGTAAAGCATAAAATACCAAAATAAAACAATAAAATAAAGTCATTACAAAAATGCAATGTTGATATTCAGTAGTAAAGTTTGACTTGCAACCATTTCGACTTGGGACCGGTTTCTCGGAACCGAACTAGGTCGTAAGTTGGATGGTAGGTGTATTACGAATTTTCAGATAAACACACAGGGTAATGCTCACTCAATGAGAAACAAAGCCAGACTGACTCAGATCGTGAGGGAGGCTTTGTGTGGGCACGGGCAGGTGGACAAGTTCGGTACGGCAGACCGATGAAAATCAAGGTGATTAGCGAAAGGTGGGACAAAATTTTGACGAAAACAGTCATCTAAAACCAGGGTAAACGAAAACAGAGGTCCCACTGTAGTAATAATATTTAATAGTAGTATGTGAGTGTGTTAAGTGTGAGTGGAAACAAATGGTTTTTATAACTTGACTAGCTGTTGGAGTGTGAGCAGGGTATTATTTTGTGAAGGGATTTGGGGAAACCAGTTAGCCAGACTTGAGTCCTGGAGGTGGGAAGTACAGTACTTGCACTCTAAAGGAGGGGTTTAGGATACTTGCTGTTTAGAGTGACATCTAAACTGTAGTATCTGTACACCCTTGGTAAGACAGTGATAGTGTAAATGATGGTGAAAGTGTTTGTTTTTCAGGTCACCCTACCTCAATGGGAGATGGCCATGGTGGTAAAAAAAAAAAATTTAATAATACAATAATTACGTAAGTGTTTTTCTTGTTTAGCACATGCGTATATACATCTGAATTTCAATATTTACTTCAGTATGCTTCAGGTGACTGTGACAGCCCAAGTTCACCAACTAATATATCAGATGTTTCATCACATAGTGGAGGTTCTGCATATTCTCCTGAAGTATCATCTGCCTCGCCTCACTCTGGTAAAAGCATTCGGTCGCTGTCATCTCGCACTCTACAAGAATTAGAAAAAATGTTGCATGCAAAGAAGGTAATTTTTTGTTTTACATGGTGGTGGGTGTTCGAGTTTGCAGTTCACAGTATTGCTATTATTTATAGTCGAGATCTTAATATGTTTGAAAATGTTTCCATCTTGAGGTAAATTCTTTGTTGTGGATAGAGATGAGATTATTTTATTGTGATTGTAACAATAGTTGATAATTATGCAACCAACAAAATTTGTCAGTTGTTTGTGAATCACTTGACCCAGAAGATATCCACAATTTCCAACATCCGTTGAATCAGCTCAGAATTAAAATCGAACATTCACTATAGTATATTTATAGGTACGTGAATAGAGCTATGACTTTTGGCTTCTTACATTCATAATTCACTTACATAATTTATTAAATATTCAGCTAGGTGCTATATTTATTAACCCTTCATTTATTCTATTGTGGTAATTCACTGCCCTTCACAGATAACCCACACATAGGAAAGAGAGACAATGACATTATGGTCTGACTTGAACCATCAACTTGTCTCATAATAACACAGGAAGGAAAGAAAGCTAGTACAGTGGACCCCCGGTTAACGAACTTTTTTCACTCCAGAAGTATGTTCAGGTGCCAGTACTGACCGAATTTTTTCCCATAAGGAATATTGTGAAGTAGATTAGTCCATTTCAGACCCCCAAACATACACGTACAAACGCACTTACATAAATACACTTACATAATTGGTCGCATTTGGAGGTGATCGTTAAGCGGGGGTCCACTGTATATGTATGCGGGTTATTTGTGTATTTTTCCAGTTGTGGTACTGTGACTTTTTGAAGATTGAGACACTTATGCAGCATATGGGAATCTTTATTCAGGAAACGTTTCACCACACAGTGGCTTCATCAGTCCAATACAAAGAGGAAGGCATAAGGAGAGGAGGATTATGAGGTAATCAGTCCCTCAGCCTGGAGTCGATGTGTTCAGTCCATCAATCTTGTAGAATGTACATTCTACAAGATTGATGGACTGAACACATCGACTCCAGGCTGAGGGACTGATTACCTCATACTCCTCCTCTCCTTACGCCTTCCTCTTTGTATTGGACTGATGAAGCCACTGTGTGGCGAAACGTTTCCCGAATAAAGATTCCCATATGCTGCATAAGTGTCTCAATCTTCAACTTGTCGGTTTTTCAAACCATTCATCACAACTGTGACTTTTTGTTCTTTTTGTCTATAGTATTTTATCTTTTGTTTTAGATGGCTTACAATGCTGCCTGCGCTGGAAATTTTTCCGAAAAGCAGAGAAAGTTGAGAAAGCAGTGTGTCGAGATTGAGAAAGAAATAGCACTGAAGAAAGGGTCCAACTACTACAAGTAAATATTCAGTATACAGCTAGATCTTGATTAGTGCAAGTTCGAACAGTCCAAATTTCTCATTAGTCTGAAATCAATTAATGCTAGCTTTTTCCCAAACTCAAATCATGCGCAAAAATTACATATGATTTCAATGTTGCGATTGCAATTCACGGGATTTATTATTCACATTAGTCGAGACCTAGCTGTATCTGCTTCCTTTTCCCCCATTGGTAATAAATACATAGTTATAATTTATTGAATACTACAGGTGCCCCTCGACTTCGAGTGGTTCAACTTTAAATATTTCGACTTTACAATTGTGCAAAAGCAGTTACTTTCATGATGAGACTTAAGATAATATTACCCAACATGAAGACAGCAAATCTATAACTTGCACATATTCATTTACAGTGGTACCTCGAATTTTGATCAGCTCCTAACTCGAACACTTATGTAAGTGTATTTTTGTAAGTGCTTTTGTGAGTGTTTTTGGGGGTCTGAAACAGACGAATCTAATTTACATTATTCCTTGTGGGAACAGATTTGTTCAGTAATGGCACTCGAACAGCATTCTGGAATGAATTAAGGCCAAAATTCGAGGTACCACTGTACTTTACTTGCTTTCCAATACGTACTGTTATTTAGTTTATTTACTTGTTCAGTGACAGTAAATTAAAATGAATGTGTTTATTTCCTTGCAAAGTTTACAATGTGTGGTTTACATATTACAAAACATTAATCACAAAGAAAGCCATTAACATGCCTAGGCATTTCAGGCAGACTAATCCTAATTCTGACTCGCGAAATCGTAATGGCACGATTGCAAACAAACCATACCATGGGCAGGGATAGAACCTGCATCAGTCTGGAGTTTTATGACTATGATTACAGGTTTTATCCCCACCGTGGTATGGTTTACCGTCCCATAACACAGGTTATGGGACGGTGCATTTTAATGTTCATTATTGCATATTGAAGTAAAAGTTAGGTAATTAAAAAGTTTATCATTAATAAGGTAGATAATAGTGAGTTCAAAACATACACACAATAGTATTACCATTAATAAATTTAGTAATGGGGATGGTTTTATCTTGACACGATACTGTTTCTATAAGAGCTCCCTTGTATTGTCAAAATATTTCAGACAAACTTTGGACTAAAGATTAAGTAACAGTTATATATAAGTAGTTATTCATTTACTTATTTAGCATATCATATTTATTTGACTTAGGATGGGTTCATCGGAACGTCGCCCTATTTTAAGTCGGGGAGCACCTGTACTACATACGGGTGTAGCAGTATTTTTTATTTTTTAATTAAAATACAGCCCATACAGATTAAACATTTTTATGTTAAAAGTTGCTAGTTTACTAGTGCAACCTGCTATATTATTATAGTTGATAGTTATACACCTCTGGTGATTGTCATTACTATGTACTTTTATACTGTATTATCATTTATTTGTAAATACGGTGGTACCTCGGGATACGAACTTCGTTCCAGAAGGCTGTTCAAGTGCTGATACCAAATGAATTTGTTCCCATAAGGAATAATGTAAATTAGATTAATCCGTTTCAGATCCCCAAAAATACACTTAAAAATACACTTACGTAAATACACTTACATAATTGTTCGACTTTTGAGCTGTTCGTATCCCGAGGTACCTCTGTAATTTTTTTTTTAATTAAGTAAATGTTTCAGGTTTGATGGTAACCCACCTTCGCCTGCTGAAGAATCAGCATTGACCCTGTCATCTGACCTAGAAAGAGAGAGAATGCTGGATGCTGACGTAAGTACTCTGGACCTTAAGGTACATTATCAGTCTTTACCACATCCCATCCTGCATTCCTCTGTGACTCTTTTGGGTTTTGCACTTTTTTTTTTTTTTTTTTTTTTTTTTTTGTAACCAGGCATCATTCACCGAGGCAGGGCGACCTGAAAAATAAGGAATGTCAAGTTTTTTTTTTTCTTAAACAAACAGGCCCTATCCCACTGAGGCTGGGTGATCCAAAAAGAAAAATGAAGGTTTTTGTTTTTAAATTTAATAGCTTACACAAGAGAAGGAGTTACTAGCATCTTGCTCCTGGCATGTTAGTCGCCTCTTACAACTCTCTTGGGTTACGGAGGAAGGATTCTTCTCCACTTCCTCGTGGAGAGTTTGATATTATTATACAGATAAACTAATAGAAAAAACATTCATTGTTTTTATCTTAAATTTTTCATACAGCAGCTCTAATAATCACATTCACAGGAGGGGAGTAACATGCAGTAGTCGAAGATTGAGACACTTATGCAGCATATGGAAATCTTTATTCAGGAAACGTTTCGCCACACAGTGGCTTCATCAGTCCAATACAAAGAGGAAGGCGTAAGGAGAGGAGGAGAATGAGGTAATCAGTCCCTCAACCTGGAGTCGATGTGTTCAGTCCATCGACTCCAGGTTGAGGGACTGATTACCTCATTCTCCTCCTCTCCTTACGCCTTCCTCTTTGTATTGGACTGATGAAGCCACTGTGTGGCGAAACGTTTCCTGAATAAAGATTTCCATATGCTGCATAAGTGTCTCAATCTTCAACTTGTCGGTTTTTCAAACCATTCATCACAACATGCAGTAGTCCCTCTGTATCTGCAGGATAAGTTCCAAGACCTGCCAAGTTAGTGATGCTGGCAGTTTTTTCATAGCCTCAGAGATGTCGTGAAATGCTTCCCATCGGTGAAAAAGTGCTAATTCTAGACTTTGTATAATTTATCAATTAAACTTTATTGTAGGTATATATGTATGTTAGCAAAAAATAACATTAGTATAGGGTTTGCTACTATCCACAGTTTCAGGTATCCACGGTAGGTCTTGGAATGTATCCCCTGCAGATATGGGGGCAATTGCAGTGGTACCTCAAAAATCGAACTTAATCCGTTCCAGGAGCTAGTTCTAAATTCGAAAAGTCTGAAATTCGAAGCAATATTTCCCATAAGAAATAATGGAAATACAATTAATCCGTTCCAGAAACCCAAAAATATTCACACAAAAAAATACATTTTATAGAGATTAATTACAGTTTTACATACAACAAATATTATAGTTTTTAATTATGTATAGTTTTACATATAAAATAACATTTTTACTGACCTTTATTGAAGATTGGTGATGGCATCTGGAAGATAGGGAGGAGGAGAGAGGGAATTGGGGTTATTGTTTGGAAGGACTTGAGGACTTCAGGTAAAGCCCTCTCTGGGGTTACTTCCCTTCTCTGTCTTTTAATGCCACTAGGACCAGCTTGAGAGTCACTGGACCCCTGTCTCACAAAATAACTGTCCCCAGTCCTCTGTTTCTGGTGCCTCTTTAACATTTCCCTAAAATGGGACATGGTTCTGTCACTGAACTTGTTGCAAAGATGGCTTGTTTCAGCTTGCTCAGGGTGGTACTTCTGCACAAACATTTGGACATCATTCCACTTGGCACCAATCTCCTTAATCTTTGAAGAAGGCACCTCATCCACTCCACTCCCTATATTAACACCTTTCGCAACATCAGCTTCCTTGATTTGTTCTTTCTTTGACAGGATAGAACCGATGGTCGACTTGTTTTTCCCATACATCCTGGCAAGCTCAACAAGTCTCACACCACTCGTACTTCTGTATTATTTCCTTCTTCACATCTATGGTGTTTCTCACTTTCTTTATCACAGGGGTACCACTAGCAAGTTTCTTTGGGCCCATGGCAGCTTATTTCACAGTCCCACAAGCACTAAACACAAAGAAATAATCGTAAAATGCGTGAATGAGAGCGCAGGTTAGTGTTCACTCAAGCATAAACAAAGCTAGACTATTCACGGCGAAAGCGTGGTGACGCGGATAGAGCGGCCGGCAGACAGCTCCCGTACCTGGCAGTCCAAAAATAGGGGAGCGTTCGATAATAGGGACACTGTCCAAAATAATGGTCCTATTTTCGAAACGTTCGATATGTGATATGTTCGATTTTTGAGGTTCCACTGTACACTGTATACGACTTCTCCAGCACTACTCTAATTTGCCTGTTATAACCTCCTCCCACTTTGTAACAATGCCAAAGGTAATATTAATAAAAGGAAAAAATTAAAAATAAAAATTGGGTAAAATTTGCCAAAAATTCACTACGTACATCAGGATATATTGACTATGGAGTCTTCTTTCATCAAACTGGACATATCCCACCAAGGCAGGGTGGCCCAAAAAGAAAAACGAAAGTTTCTTTTTAAATTTAGTAATTTATACAGGAGAAGGGTTACTAGCCCCTTGCTCCCAGCATTTTAGTTGCCTCTTACGATACGCATGGCTCACAGAGGAAGAATTCTGTTCCACTTCCCCATGGAGATAAGAAATAAACAAGAACTAGTAAGGAAATGGAAGAAAACCCAGAGGGTTGTGTGTGTATATATACACCAACCATCCGACTTACAACCGAGTTCGGTTCCAAGAAACCGGTCGTAAGTCGAACTTTACTACTGAATATCAACAAAACATTTTTGTAATGACTATTTTATTGTTTTATTTTGGTATTTCATGTTTTACTTTACTTTTTATGCTGTTAGTACTGTATTTTATACTGTAAGGTTTAGGATAAACGCTGAGTACAACACAAATAGTTGTTTATTTCCCAGAAATTTGGCATAAAAAACACGATCGTAAGTCGAGTGGTCATAAGTCAAGCAGGTCGTAAGTCGGATGGTAGGTGTATATATATATATATATATACAGGAGGGCCCCACTTATACGGCAGGTTAGGTTCCAGGCTACCGCCGTAAAGCGGAAACCGCCGTAAAGTGGAACACCCTTTTTTTCCACTTATAAATGCATACAAACACTAGATAACAAGTTTACACTAACATATATTAAGTTAGCAATAGAACCAGGCATCAAAAAACAATAAAAAAGTATAATACACACATAGTGCACTCATTACTTACCTTAAAATATTTATAGTCTTAATCTAGGGTGAGACAAGTAGTATTTATTGTAAGAAATCAAGTGTGGTATGTATGGTGTCAGCCAGGCTACCATACCAGGCCACCCCACCCACACATACTATTCTATGATATTTAAGCATCCCAGAGCGATAAAATGTATATACAGTTCACTCATTACTTACCTTAAAATATTTGTAGTCTTAATGTAGGGTCAGGAGTAAGTAAATGAGATAAAACGAATAAATGAGAGAGAGAAAGAATGAGTACATGAGAGGGGACAGGCGCAGAGTTATGTAAACAAACCAGGCGAACGTAAGTTTTGTAAACAAACGAAGTGTACACGTCTGGTTTGTGTACAAGTTACATTGTGTACAGGTTGTCTCTACATTGATACGGTAGAATTAATAAAGAAGAACACTCCCATTCTCATGTAACATCATTTTGAGAAGAAATGAAGCTCTGAGTGAAGGCAATGGAAATAAGTCACACTGACTTTTTTGGGTTATCCTAGGTTCTCTACACGTATGTTGTTATGTATGATAATCTATGTAACTGTATTTGTGTATACCTGAATAAACTTACATACATACGAAAGGAATAATTTTCTACAGTTACCCCCAGTAACACATTTTCTCTTATGTTAGATTAGAGAAAATGTTATTCTTGCCATCACTTGTACAAGTTATGTGGCTCCCACATCTTATATTTGTTTATTTATTCTATTGTGGGGTGTATTTATCATCTTTTTATGTTATGTATCGTGTTTATTATATAATTTTGAAAAAAATATCATGGATGGATTAATGAAAATGTGTATACAGTGGACCCCCGGTTAACGATTTTAATCCGTGCAAGAGGGCTCATCGTTATGCGAAATAATCGTTATGCGAATGAATTTTCCCCATAAGAAATAATGGAAATAAAATTAATCCGTGCAAGACGCCCAAAAGTATGAAAAAAATTTTTTTTTACCACATGAAATGTTAATTTTAATACACACAAACTGAAAAAGGCATGCACAATTAAATGACACTTACTTTTATTGAAGATCTGGTGATGATTGATGGGATGGGAGGAGGGGAGAGAGTGTGTTAGTGTTTAGAAGGGAATCCCCTTCCATTAGGACTTGAGGTAGTAAGTCCTTTTCTGGGGTTACTTCCCTTCTTCTTTTAATGCCACTAGGGCCAGCTTCAGAGTCACTGGACTTCTTTCGCACAAGATATCTGTCCATAGTGGCCTGTACCTCTCGTTCCTTTATGACTTGCCTAAAGGTTTCACAACATTGTCAGTGTAATAATCACCAGCACGGCTTGCAATAGCTGTGTGAGGGTGATTTTCATCCATGAAGGTTTGCACTTCAAGCCACTTAGCACAGATTTCCTTTATCTTTGTAGTAGGCAACTTCTTCAATTTCTCTCTCCCTCCTCTGAACCAGTTTCCTCAGGTCTGGCCTCTTGCTCTTGAAGTTGATCTATCAGCTCATCAGTGTTTAGTTCTTCATTGTCCTCCTCCACCAACTCTTCCACATCCTCCCACTAACCTCCAACCCCAAGGACTTTCCCAATGCCACAGTGGATTCCTCAACTGGCACAGGATTCTCAGGGTTAGCCTCAAACCCTTCAAAATCCCTTTTGTCTACACATTCGGCCACAGTTTCTTCCAAGCAGAGTTCAAGGTCCTCTTTGTCACTTCCTCCCAAGCCTTACCTATAAGGTTTACACAATTGAGGATATTAAAGTGATCTCTCCAAAACTCTCTTAGAGTCAGTTGAGTTTCTGAGGTCATTACAAAGCACCTTTCAAACAGAGCTTTTGTGTTACAGTTCTTGAAGTTGGAAATAACCTGCTGGTCCATGGGCTGCAGGAGA